GGCTAAAAGAATACAATACACCTCGACATTACCAAACTAAGTACTCATCACAGTGTTCCCAGTTCACAGGAAAGCAATGGTTAGGCAAATTAGAAAGTTTAAAATAGAATATCTTATCATAGCAGAATTCTTCACAAAAGTGAAAAATGAAAATGAGGTTGCTGCCAAAGTAAGTTTCTGAGTGGTTCATTTGTTAGCCAAGCAAAGAAAACCATCTACTTACTGGTGGTGAGTTAATTAAATCATGTTTGATTGCAAAAGCCAAAGAAATGTGTCCAAGGAAAATAAACTTTTTAAAGACTTTTAGCAAGAACAGTGGCTCAGAAGTTGAGGACACTGGAAGCAACACCAATAGTAAGTTTTTAAAAACAGGGCAAATGGTTTCAAGTGTTTTCCCTTGGCTCTTGATAAGTTGACAGATCTTAACAATACTCCTCAATTGTTGTTTACTCAGAGGGTCAATGCTGGGTTTAAAATGGTGGAAGAATTGGCCTGTACGGATAGCCTGTAAGTGAAAGTCGCTTGTTGTGTCTGATTCTTTGTGACCCCATGGACTACACAGTCCATGGAATTCTCTAGGCCAGAATACTGGAGTGGGTAGCCTTTTCCTTCTCTGGGGGATCTTCCCCACCTGGGGATCAAACCCAGGACTCCAGTATTGCAGGCAGATTGTTTACCAGTTGAACCACAAGGGAAGCCCAAGAATACAGACAGCCTGTAGATGACTGCAGATGAGAATATTTTCAAAAAAGTCAAAAAAGCACTAATTCAATACAACCTGAAGTAGAATCTGCTAAGATGCATTTTGAATATGTATGAAGGAGAAAAAGGCTTAGTTGGGCAAATGTACAAAACTTGCAAAAATGGAAGCTGTTTAAATCCTATAGTTATTTGTTATCTTACTGAACAATAGGTACCTCACAGGAAAATATTTTAGTCTATCTTATGTTACTCAACCATTCGTGTCAACAGTGAACCTCATTCACTCTCGTGGACTAAACATTGTCAGTTTCATGAATTTTTGTCAGATATAGAGGCTGAATATTTTAACTTGACCCACCAACAGCAGTTCAACAGCTTAGCGGTTGTAAGGGTTTTTTGTCATTGTTGTTTCATCTGTTTATTTTTGTATTTTTATAGCTCATGGCTGGAATTGGGAAATTTTTCTGAGCCAGAAGAACCACCCTCAACTATTCCATTCACTATTATTGAATACTGAATGGAATTAGCTTTTGCTGGAGACTTAATAATGTTATTTAATAAATTTAACCTACAATTACAAAGCAAAAATGCTTCTCACATGTGATATTTATGCTGCAGTGAAATCATTTCAATGACAACTGGCACTTTTTGAACCACAAGTAATGTCTAGTTACTTAATCACTTCCTGTGCTGTTAAAAGTTAAAACAGACTAGATTTGCATTCCCACACGAATTTGCTGTGGATATATTTTCTGAACATAAAACCTATGGTGTTTTATGGACCCTGATGTGAGTGCAAAGGAAATTTCTGTATTTCAAAAGCAGTTTAACTGTGCAATTGAGGAACTCCCACTTAAACATCAATTGGAAGTGATCATTCTGCAATGTAACAACATGCTAAAACGCAAATGTCACGAGAAGAATCTGATAGAATTCTGTAATTGCTATCTAAGAGATGAACTGTTGTTTAGTCGCTAAGTTGCATCCCACTCTTTTGCAACCCCAAAGACTGTAGCCCAGCAAGCTCCTCTGTCCATGGGATTTCCCAGGCAAGAATACTGGAGTGGGTTGACATTTCCTTCTCCAGGGGATCTTCTCAATCCAGAGACTGAACCTGCATCTCCTGCATTTCAGGTGTATTCTTTACTGCTGAGCCACGAGGGAAGCCCCAAGAGGTGAATATGCTCAATTAAAACTCAGATGCTTGTAGACTGATATCAGTATATGGCAGTACTTATCTGTGTTATGATTTTTCTCAAAGATGAAATACATAAAATCTCATTACTACAGATAAGCATTAACAGATAAATGTCTGTAGCTGATTTTTTATTAAGACCTTTATTAACAGTTGCTTGCAATTTGTCAATTCTTTTGAAAAAATCAAGTTGTAAATTTTCATTACAGATGAAAAATGAGATTCTTAGCAATCTTGACAAATTGAAACAATTTATAAACCTTTAAAATTGTATTAAAAAATAAAAGGGAATTCCCCAGTGGTCCAGTAGTTAGGACTCTTCATTTGCATTGCAGGAGGCATGAGTTCCATCCCTGGTTGGAAGCTGTGATCCCACATGCTGCAAGGCATGGCAAAAAAAAAAAACTGTAACTGATTTTGATAATAGGAAACACTCACTTTGAATGCTAATTAAGTGACATATTATCCTCTTCATAAAAGAATGTCATTCCTCTCACTAGTAGATCTGTATTATGAAAAATTATACTCAATTATTATATTTTGAATTCCATTGATAAAACATTTGTGAAAAGTTGTTTTCTCTAGTGATATAAATACCTACATAAAGTTCTTGATTTTGCCTCTTTGCTTTCAAAGCCTAAAATATTTACTCTCTAGCCCTTTGCCCATCCCTGCACTAGACTAAGCCACATGAGGGAGGGAGACTATTTATAACTGATCACTATGCAACCAGAGTTGTATTAATAAGCACATTGCCTGCACACAGTAGAAGATAAAGAAATACTAAATAACATAGACTTATAGGGATGACATTGCACTAAGACCTAAGGAGAAAATGCTGTGAGTCTTAAAAGACTTGATACTTCTTTTATGCTTTAACTCAGGTTCATTTGAAGGCTAGCAGATGGCTTTAAATTCCCACTGGTTTACATCTTGTATATCTAGAACACTACTCTTCTTCCAGCTACTCTGTCAATTTTCTGGTCACCAAACTTCTGCTTTCTTCAGTAAGTTCTTTGTTAAAAATCCACTATTTTGGTGTCATCCAAAATAGTGTCAAATGGTGTCACTTGAAATGATCCAATGTAAGCTGTCTAAATGTCCTTACTCTGGGTGGCCCCAGGTTCTGGTCCTCCACAAAGAGCATTCTGGGAGAGTTTCTGGGTTGAGGAAGGAATCGTGGGAAGATGTTCCCTAAACTTGTGGCAAACAGGATCATTCAGATGTCTCTATTTGCAAATCACCTGATTAGCATAGAGTATCCAAAAATACATAATGAAGTCTCATGATTCAACAATATAGTAACAAATAGCCCAATTAAAAATAGGCAAGGATTGGAGTAGGGATTTCTCCCAATAAGATATTTAAATGTAAAAAAAAAGGTATATGCAAAGGTGCTCAGTATCATTAGCCATCAGAGAAAGGCAAATCAAAATGTCAATGAGATACCACCTCACACTCACTAGGATGGCTATAAGGGGGAAAAAAGATAATTATTGGTGAGGACATGAAGAAATCAGAACCCCACATACACTGCTGGTGGTAAATGTAAAATAATAAAGCTGCTTTGGGTAACATTCTTAGGAGTTCCTCAAAAAGTTAAACATAAGGTTATCATATGACCCAGAAATTCCACTCTTTACTAAACATCTGAGAGAACATATGCCCTCACAAAACATAAAAGCATAACAACATATGTTCTTACAAAAACCTGTTCACCACTGTTCATAGTAGCACTGCTGTACTCATTAGATTACAAAAGTGGAAATAATCCAATTGTCCACCGATGAATGAATATACACAATGTGGTATATCCATACAACAGAATATTATCCAGTCATAAAAAGGAATGAAGTTCCTTTTTAGTGATTCATTATGTTTTTTAACTGATTGATTCATGGTACAACATGGATGACCTTTGGAAACAAAACTGAAGGAAACCTGATACCAATAGCTACATATTGTATGATTTCATTCATTAGAAATTTCCAGAAGAGGCAAATTCAGAGAGACAGAAAGCTAGATTAGTGGTTGCCAGGGGCTGGGAAAGAGGTGGAAAGAGTGCCAGCTAAGGGATTTCTTTTGGGGAATGATGAAAATATTAGGTAGTGGTGATAGTTGCAAAACTTCGTGAATATACTAAAACCCACTGAATTATACACTTTGAAAGGGTGAATTATATGTTATGTGAACTAGATCTCAAGTTCTAAGATTCCTCGACTTCATTAGGTACTCATCCTGAATCAGTCAGTTCAGTTCAGTTGCTCAGTTGTGTCCAACTTTTTGCGACCCCATGAACCGCAGCACGCCAGGCCTCCCTGTCCATCACCAACTCCCAGAGTCCACCCAAACCCATGTCCATTGAGTTGGTGATGCCATCCAACCATCTCATCCTCTGTCGTCCCTTCTCCTCCTGCCCTCAATCTTTCCCAGCATCAGGGTCTTTTCAAATGAGTCAGCTCTCCACATCAGGTGGCCAAAGTATTGGAGTCTCAGCTTCAACATCAGTCCCTCCAATGAACACCCAGGACTGAGCTCCTTTGAAAGTGAAGTCGCTCAGTCGTGTCTGACTCTTTGCGACCCCATGGACTGTAGTATGCCAGGCTCCTCCATCCATGGGATTTTCCAGGCAAGAGTACTGGAGTGAGTTGCCATTTCCTTCTCCAGAGGATCTTTCTGACCCAAGGATGGAACCTGGGTCTCCCACATAGGCAGACGCTTTACTGTCTGAGCACATTTAGAGGCACATTTAAAATCTATATTATGCATATAAAGTGTAAATAGCCCTTTTTAATTTCTAGTTACATATATGCATATACATATGCAATGTATATAGTAATATAAATGAATAATTTAAATGATTAAGAGTGTCCCAAGTCCCAAGTAAAGCAGTCCCCCAGAACTTAGGCCAAGGCAAAGGAGGTTCTGGCAGACACCAGGCATCCCCCGTGCATCTTAGACTAATGGGAAGGCCCGGAAGTTCACGTGACTACCATTGACACGTGACCAACCTTTCAGTTGGAAGAGCAGCGACGCGTGTGTGACGTCACTTTTGCGCGACCCTTAATTTTGGCTTAGCGTTTCCGGGCTGCCGCTCTGAAGTATGCCTAAAGTAGTGTCTCGGTCCGTCGTCTGCTCTGACACCCGGGACCGGGAGGAATATGACGACGGCGAGAAGCCCCTTCACGTCTACTACTGTTTGTGCGGCCAGATGGTCCTGGTGCTGGGTGAGTAGTCTGCAAGGAGTGCAACTTCGGGTTCTCGAGGGCGGATTTCCCCTGGCTGTGATCTGAGAGCCGCGTCTCTTTGAAGATTTTCCCCTCCATTAAAATCCTCCGTACCCATCGCCGCCTCACTCCAGGGAGCTTTTCTGTATTGTGCTTCATCTTGTAATTCTGTATGCAGACCGCCTTCAAAAGGAAATTCCTCGTTTAGAAAAAATATACTCCCTGTTCTCCCTCTCTGCCTCTAGAAACTTTGTGACCTTTCTGCCCGGTACAAGGATTTTGTAATAGCTTTTATCAAGTGAAAAGAACCCCTCCTCATTGAGCCTACATTTCCCTCGAGCTATAACCTCATTTCTTTGCTTTTTTTATAGCAAAATTTCTAAAAAGAATTGCGTCTGTGGGCTGTCTCTGCATCCTTATTTCCCATTCCTTCTTGCCCTCACTTTTTCACCTAACCGTATAAACGTTATTTGTCAAAGTTACTAACCAACGTGTTACCTGTTTCAGCGATCAATTATCAATGCCCATTTAAATCCCCCTCTCAGCATTTTACAGAGATGATCAGTCCGTCTTTCTAGAAACATTTTCATTTGCATCCAAGACTCTGCACTCTACTGATTTTCCTCCTACCTCGAAATTCACACTTCTCAGTGTCTGGCTCCTCTTTCTGTCTCAGACTTTCAGGCATTGCACGGCCCTGTGGCTCAGACCTCTTACCGTTTCTCAACCTGTACTCACTCCTTAGGTGATCTCAGCCATTTCCAAGCTTTAATTACTATCTGTATGCTGATGACTCTCAAATGTTCCTCTTTAACCTGCACCTCTTCTCAAACTTCAGCCTATTCAGCATCTCCACTTGGATGTTATAGGCCTCTCAAAAGAGACCATGTTCTCACAACACTGTAAATCAACTATACTTAAAATTTTTTTTCATTTATTTTTATTAGTTGGAGGCTAATTACTTTAAAATATTGTAGTGGGTTTTGTCATACATTAAATAAAATTTTTAAAAAGAGACCGTGTTCAAAATTAACTTCCTGATCCCCTACTTTCTGCTCTCCACTGTTCCTCTCAGACTTCCCTATTGCATCCATGGTACCGCTATTCACCCAGTATCTCAGAATCTTTCTTGACTTCTGCGTTCAGCCATCAATACATTCTTCAGGTGCTTCCTTGAAAAGCTATCCAGAATCTGACTACTACTTACCACCTCCATTTCTACCACTCTAGTCCAAGCCCATCCTTTCCTAAGCATATGTACCAGGAAGAGAAAGACTCATAGAAAACTTGAAAAGCAGTACTGGCAAGGACTTTTGAGGTAATATAACCAGATAAGGGGAAAGACCCCCAAAGAGGAAGTGGTTTGCCGAAGATCACCAGTAACATAGCTGGAGCTAAAATCCAGGTCTCCAGACACCAAGTCATTTTTTGTTGGAAAATTCAATAATAGCCTTCAATAAATGTGATAATTGTAGTAAAAATTACAGTGCAAAGGGCCCCTCTGAAAAGTTCTGATTGCCTCAGGGTATTTTTCAGTGACTCTTGTGACCAAATCTTTCTTCATTCCTTTAGACTGTCAGTTAGAGAAGTTGCCCATGAGGCCCCGGGACCGGTCCCGTGTGATTGATGGTGCCAAACACGCCCACAAGTTTTGTAACACCGAAGATGAGGAGACTATATATCTTCGGAGGTAAGACGTTGATGTTCTCTGTCTAGGATTTTCTGCTTGTGTTGAGGTCTAATTCTGAGAAGTATAAATACCCCATCTAGTATCGAACAGGTCATGTATTTGGGGCCCAATACTTTGACATTTGTGGTGGTTCTCAACTTCTGTTAATACAGCCATGTTTTTATTGTGCTTTGCTGAAATGGTGAGATGTGATTCCATTGCCATTTGATAGCTGTAATTTGGGGGTTTTGCAAGTAAAATAAGTTTATTCAACTTGTAATCTCTTGGAGCACACCAGGGCACACTGTGCTAAGGACTGGATCTGCAAAGATGAGTAAGGCACCGTCCTTTCCATTAAAGAGTTCATGGCTCAACAAGGGAATGTGATATGATATGATATCACATTCACTATTGTGATATGATAAAATACTGGTGTGAACAGAAGGCTCTGGGAAAACAGACAGGAGCAGGTCTTCTTGCCTGACTGGTGGTCAGGAAAGACACCAAAAGGTGGTGGTATTTGTGTTTTGCCTTGAACTAGGATTTCACCAAGTAGGTGAGGAACATTCCAGGTGGAAGGACTATGGAAGCATTAAAAGCATCGAATACAGTGTGCTTGGGAAATTTAAGTAGTCCCTTGTGGCTGGAGCCCAGGTTACTTTACCAGAAGGGGTTCATGGAGCTTGGAGTAGGGACAGAATAAAATGCTAAAGTAGACAAATTTGGATTTTATGTATAGGCAATACACTACATCCAGTAAACAAGCAAAGAACCCTGCCCTTACAGAGCTTATATTCTAGTGTTGAACCAGAAAAAACTACCAGCTGACACTAGCTATGTGTATTTAAGAAACCAAACTGTTATCAGCCCACACTGATGAAAAGAGTTAGAAACTCTTGCTAGGCAACATTCAGTGCCAAATCAGGCTAGAATTATGCAGTTGAAGAGAAAACTGGTTATATACAAAATACAAATGGAGGGTGCAGATTATAAAACATATGAAATTCACAAAAGAAGGCCCCTCAGGTAACACTGGGGAAGATTTATAAATAACATGCTCCATCTAAAGCAAATTCATCCTCTTGTGCTTTTTCTCTCTCTGGTAACCTTTATTCAGGTTTCTGATTTTGAAAATTATTAACTGATTGTCTTTAGGATTACCAAAATATTTATTACATGTATTATATTAGTTAATACAGATAGTAATCTAACAACAAAACTAGGCCACAGGCTCCTGTGGCACTATAAGGCAGATGCCCTCACCTCCAGGCCAGAAAACTGGGTGGCCCCAGACTGCAGTGGCAACCCTGGAATCCAATCAGCCTGATCCTGGGAGTGAGCCAGCTTTGGGTCCAGCCTTAGTGCCCGGTATTGCCCAGGCCAGTGGTCTCTGGCCAGGTGCTTCTGTTGGGCCACAGTTCTCAGAGTTTACCAACAAGGCACGGTAGACTTCCTCCTTGGTTGATGTTCTTGCTCTAATCATAAACAGTCTTTCCAAGGGCCCTCTTGAGCATGCTCCCTTCCTCGCCAGGGTGAAATTTCAGTCTGATCGTACCCTTCCTCTTTAGCCAGCTGAACGTGGGAGCCCTGGTTACCGAAAATATGGCAGTCTGCCTAATCACGTGCCCTGCAACCTGTCACTTTCCATATCCACTACCACCCTGTGTTGATTACAGTGGTTTTGTATTAAGTTTTGAAATTAAGTGTGAGTCTACCAACTTTGTTCTTCTCCAAGACTGTTTTTTGGCTATTCTGGATGCTTTACAATTCCATGTGAATTTTAGGATCAGATTGTCAATTTCTGCCAAAAAAAAAAAAAGCCAACTGGGATTCTTCTAGGGATTATGTTGAAGTTGTAGATTCATTGGAAAGTGTTGCCATTTTAACAACATTTAAGTGTTCAGGTCATCAACATGGAACGTCATTCCATTTACTTAGGTCTTTAATTTCTTTCAGTGATGTTTTGTAGTTTTCAGTGCACAGGTTTTGCACTTCTTTTATTCAGTTTACTCCTAAGTATTGTATTCTTTTTGATGCTATTGTAACTGGAATTGTCAACTGATTTTAGAGGAAAGGTTTGTCGTTTACCAGTGAGTATGATGTTCATTTATGTGGCTTAGTAGATGTGAATTTTTCATAGATGCCTTTTATAAGGTAGAGGAGGTTGCCTTCTATTTATGACTTATTGAAGGGGCTTTGAATTTTGTCAGATGCTTTTTTTGCATCTAAGATGATCATGTGTTTTTTCTCTTTTATTCTGTTATTATAGTGTATCACATTGATTGATTTTTTTGTATGTTGTACCAATCTTGCATTCCTGGGGTAAATTCTGCTTGGCCATGTGATATATATAATCCTTTATATGCTGCTTGATTCGGTTTTTGCTTTTTTTTTTTGAGGATTTTTGTCTGTATAAAAAGCATTGTTGATCTCTAATTTGTTGTTTTTGTTGTTCTTGTGATAGTTTTGCCTGATGTTCAGGTAATGTTACTGGCCTCACAGGATGAATTGGGAAGTGTTTCTTCCTCTTTTGAAATGTTTGTGAAGCATTGGTATTAATTCTTCTTTGAACTTTTGGAGGAATTCCCCAGTGAAGCTACTGGTCCTGGCCTTTTCTTTGCACAAAGTTTTTTGATCACTAAATCAATCTCCTTATACTTATCATAGTCTAGTCAGATATTCTTTTTCCAATGAGTTTTGGTAGTTTGTATCATTCTATCATTCCTGGAATTTGTTCTTTTCATCAAGATTATCTGGTTTGTTGGTGTATAGTTATTCATAGTATAATCTTAAAATCTTTTTTTTTATGTCTTATCAGATCAGTAGTACTTCCTTGATCTTTTTAGGTCCCAAGAACATCAGACTATTTGTAATTCTCTGAATATGCTCTGCTGTTTGGCCTTTTGCACAGAGTTGCCCCTCTGCTTGAAATCCCATTTTTCTATCAGGACTGTTGACATCACCTCACAAAGCCTTCCATAACTGCCTCAGACAGATTTAGTGCTGCCATATCTGTGTTTCTGTCACCCCGTTCACTTTCCTCCATCTAAGAACTTACCTCTGTGGTTATAATTTTCCACACTAAACTTAAATTCTTTTAAGAATTCATTTAGTCAGTACTTATTGCAGTACTGTGCTCAGCTCTGGGAATAGAGTGTGAGCCAGATAGGCGTGGTCTCTGCTGATCTCTGATCTCATGGTCTTTACAGTCTAGTGGGATGACAAAAAAATAAAGTAATTATGATTATGGAAAGTCATACAAATAAAACAAAGGGCTCATCCAGAATCACATGAGAACCTCTTCAAAAAGGTGTTCAGGGCAGGCTGTTATAACTAGGTGATATTTGAACTGACACCAAAAAAGATGAGACTGCAACAGGTGAGAAGTGCATTCCAGGCAGAGAGAAGAGTGTGTGTGAAAGATCAGAGATGGGAAAGCACTTATTTGTTCCAAGAACAGAGGAAGGCTGGTGTGGAGAGGTCACAGTGAGTGGGAAGGAAGGTAGGAGATGAGGCCGGATCAGATTCTCTGCCCAGCCAGTGCCTAGAAGGCCATGGTGAAGAGTTTGTGTTCTATTCTAGCTGTCCTGGGAAGCCACTCTTGCCTCTCTTTGGAGAATGATTGAGAGTGAGATAGTAATGAAAGCAGGTTCTAGAATAAGTGCTCAGAATTTTTATTTTAGATATGAACTTAGAGTGGAGAAGTCCTAACTAAGTATCATATACATGATTGATTTGATCACATAAAAATCTAAAATTTCCACGTGGGGGAAAAAGTCAAAGACAAATGTCTAGCTGGAGAAGAAATATTTGCAGGAACCCTTAACATTTGCACGTTTCCTTAATATAAAATAAAGAGATGGACTTCCCTGGTGGTCCAGTGGTTAAGACTCCACGATTCCACTGTAGGGGGGCGCGGGTTCGATCCCTGGTGGGGGAATAAAATCCCATGTGCTGCACAGCTTAGTCAAAACACAACACAAAACAATAAGAATAAATAGAATAAAATAAAATGACAACTCAGTAGGACAAAAATAGACTGTTTATCAAAAAAAAAAGAAATGCAAATGTCTATTAAATATATGAAAAGATGCCTAACTTCACTCTTTTAAAAAAAATGCAGATTTTGAGATCTCATTTTTCACAGGCCAGATTGGCTGTCATACATTTTAATAACATACTGTGTTGGTAAGACTGTAGGGAAACAGGAAGTCTCACATTGGTGGTGGGGTATACAGTGGTTCAACTTCTGTGCAGAGTAATTTGGCTGTTATCTATCAGAATCTGAAGTGGATACACTTGGAGGATTTACCCAGCAGGTAAGACATTTTGGTTCATCCATACAAATAGATAGAATGGAGCCCTGATAAACAATGAGGCAATTCTTTATCAACTGATTGGGAAGGATCACATATTTTTTTAACCAAGATATAAATTTAAGTGAACAGAGAGGCTGTTTCACTTTAAGTGAATAGGTGGGCTACATTTGTCTAAAAAGGAAGAGAAAACTTTGCTGTGTCATCAACTCTGGGAGGAACGGAGGAAACCAGTAACAGTATTTGCCTCTGGGGCTGGGGGAGGGAACCAGGCGTGTGGAAGAGGAGTGGAGAGGATATTTACCTTTCACTTTATACTCTATTCTATACCATCTGTGCATACTGTTTATTTAAAAAGTTGAAACAGGGAGGGAAGTGAGGAGACTGGGGGGTAGCTGGGACAATAATCTGGAGAAGAGATATTAGTGGACTAGGCTGAGATGGTGGCAGGAGGGTGGAGAAAAGTAGGTTCAAGACCTTTTTTGGAGCTCAAATCCACAGGATTTGTGGATGAAGTAGATTGTGGGAGATGAGGGAAAGAGAAGACAAAGGTGAGTTCCAGGTTTCTCTGAAACAACCGGATAGTGGAAGAGTCTTTACCTCCCAGCTAACTATCTAAGGCAATGTTGTGTGGGCTGTTGAGCTTGACCACCTTATTTCAACCTAGGGCTTGAGCTCAACCTATTCTACTTCCTAGCTCTGTGACCTTGAGCAAACTGTGTAACTGCTTTGTGCTTCTTCACCCTCATCTGTAGAATGGGAATGATAACATGACCTACCTCATAAGGTGGTTGTAAGGATTAAATGAGTTAATACATGTACACTTTAGAACAGCTCCTGGTACATAATAAAAGCTATGCAAGTGATTATCACTGTTGTTATTGTTGGTCGTGGTGTTACTGTGAACCCGACTGCTTCTGTGACTGTAACTACTACCACACTGCCTCCTCTGTCAGGAGGGTGCCTGTGGATGGAAGAAGTGCTTTAAAATGAATACATGTGTAAACCAACAGCTGATCTAGGAAAGGAAATCTTTTGAAAAGCCATTTTAACATTTGAGGAAATGAGCAAGTGAGGTTGGTAGGTTATGAGATTTGTTTGGATCTTTTTTAACTTCCATTTTCTGTGCAGACCTGAAGGCATTGAACGACAGTACAGGAAGAAATGTGCAAAGTAAGTATTAACAGTGTGGGTTTCCCCAAGCATAAAAAAGTTGAGGTAGTGATGTGTTAGGAAAAGCATCATTTGGAGACAATTCTCTGTTATATCTTTATCCTTATAATCTTTTTTTTTTATCCTTATAATCTTAACCTGCCTTCAGACTTCAGTTATGCAAGTAGGCTTCTTGAAGAGCTGCAGTTGGCCAAATTACACTTCTGACCAACTGGCCACAAAAAATGGGTTTTGAAACATATTATTTTTTAAGTCAGGTGTAACTTATATATAATAAAATTTGCTTTCTTAAGTGGACAGTTTGATGAGTATTGACAGAAGCATACAGCCACGTAACATCACCCCTCCTGTGACATAGTACATTTCCAGGGCTCCTTTGCAGTCAGTCCCCCTTCCCCTGGCCAGCACTGGCCTACCTTCTGCTGCTGTAGTTTTACCTATTCTAAAATGTGACATAAAAAAAAAATAAAATGTGACATAAACTCTGCAGTGTGTGTTCTGCTGCATACAATGTGTATCTCTTCCATCTGGTTTCTTTCACGTAGCATGATGCTTTGGGGGTTCATCCAAGTTATGTGTAATGGTAGTTTGTTCCTTTTATCACTGAGTAGTATTCCATCACACCATAGTTCATTTAACCATTGACCCATTGAAGGTCATTTGGGTTGTTAATGACTTTGGCTATTACAAAGAAAGCTGCTATGAACATTCCAGTATAAATCTTGTGGGAACATGTATTTTCTCCTGGAGTGGAGTTTTCTCAGTCTTGTGGTAAACATAACATAGTGTAATTTAATCCAAACCTATTTATAAAGTCTATTACAGGACCACAGACCTAAGAACTTTAGAGAGTATTATTTAAAGATATATATGATATCCAGCTTTAGATTGTTAGCAGTGAGAATATTAAACTTCAACAAGCTTAATCTTGTTGATGTAATTACAGTTCACTCTTGGATCACCGACTCAATGGACATGGGTTTGGGTGGACTCTGGGAGTTGGTGATGGACAGGGAGGCCTGGCATGCTGTGGTTCATGGGGTTGCAAAGAGTCGGACGTGACTGAGCAACTGAACTGAACTTGGCTCTCAGAAGACTCAGACTAGGAGAATTAAAGCAGGGAACTGGCTAAGAGGACGTTTTAGTTTACAGCCACATTAGATTTGTTAGATGAGTTTAATCATATCTTATGGGTGTGGGTCTACTTCATTTAGCTGAAAAAGTAGAATAGAAATGACCAACCACAGAAAATATGCTGTGAACTTAGTTCTGATTGCTCAAAACTTAGTTGGTGGACCAGCCACAGTGGAGCCTTTCTGCTGCTTCTTGACCCTGATACAACAGAACAAGACAGAACCCCACACTAGTTCCCCAGACTTCTGGGAAGAAAGGCAGCAGTTTTGACTGGAAAGCAATCAGCAGCAGGAGCCAGCGTTTGCCATACTTGTCTAATGATCAGAACTGCATGGGATGCTAAGAGAGATTTGCAGGCCTCAGCCCCCAGAGTAACTCAATCAGGATCCCCTGGGGGGTGGGACCTCGGAATCTGATCGGCAGTTGTAACAAGCGCCCTCAGTGATTCTTATCAAGTAGTTTTGAGAAACATCAGGAAGAGCTGATCATTAGTTGATGCCACAAACACACATATTTGCAGAGTCTGAGCCCACTTTGCGAAGCAGTGTTTGGGGGGTTTGGATCCTGAGGCCTGCCTGAGATTCACTCTGCTATTTGCAGGTGTGGGCTGCCGCTCTTCTACCAGTCCCAGCCCAAGAATGCTCCTGTGACCTTCATTGTGGATGGAGCAGTGGTCAAGTTTGGCCAGGGTTTTGGGAAAACGAACATATACACTCAGAAACAAGAGCCTCCTAAGAAGGTAATTATAAATGAAGGAGACAGATGGGTTAATGGAGCTACAGATATAGTCCTAAAACTTTAGATTATGGTGCATGAGAGCGTGCCCCTTGTGTATGCTCTCTTTATTAAGAGGATGCCATTTTTGTGTATAAGCAGATGTTACAAAATTTTAACACCTATCGTGTGTTCTTTTTTCTTTCTTACAGTCTGCTTTATGAATAAAGTTGGAAATTGTATGGCTTTTATTTACATGTACTTCCTTTGAAATGTCTTCTTTTTCCAGTGTGAGCAATTAGAGGTGGAATGCAGAAAGTTAATCTTTAAATATATTTTGAAAACCCTTGATGTCAAATATTAGAAAACGATAGTGCAGAATAAAAGATGGGCACTTTTAGATAGGCCGGCCTGTCCCAAAGAGGCGGATGTTCCCCCAACAATCCTCTCCTGCCCCCAACACCCAGGCTTGGGCACTTGCACACTCACACTCATACACACTCATGCACACACGGTTCAGAGAGGTGAACTAGACTGGTTCCTCTTCCTGCATCTCCAGGTGATGATGACCAAGCGGACTAAAGACATGGGCAAGTTCAGCTCTGTGACTGTGTCTACTATTGATGAAGAAGAAGAAGAGATTGAGGCTGTAAGTGCTTTTGCCCTCAGGGGAGTTGGATAGGAGGGGACGAAGCGGGACTCAAACTACACCATTGAATAGCAGAAAAGCTAGAAACTTCCCTCTTATACTTCGCTATAGCTACTAAGGAACACTGTGACAGCGGGCTAGTTCCTATTTCCCTGGATTTCAGGGACATCTGTAGGATGAGGCACAGGGAGGGACTAAATCAGTCATTTTTTACATACTGTTTTTGAGAGGCCTTAGGGAGCGCATCCCTCTTCAGTTGAAAAATTACCGGACTCAAGGATTTCCGGTCCCTTTCAGTCCAGCTTCGAGAGTGTGGGCATCTGTCCTTAGCAGGAGAAGCAATTCCCTTTATGGTACTTAAGTATAATGATGTTTACACAGAGATGTTCTCTGTTATTTAAACATGGTTTCAGTTGAAACCTGACTCCCCCAGATTACTGAAAAGCTGGAGTGGAAAGGGAGCCGAATTCGGCCACTTCAGTAGTGATTTCATAACCTGAGGAGTATAAACTTCTCCTGAGGTCTCTGTTACTCTTCTTGGGTGAGACTGCTGGCCTGAGGATGCTTCATTCTTCCCTCAGAGAGAAGTTGCTGACTCTTATGCTCAGAATGCCAAGGTGATTGAAAAGCAGCTGGAGCGCAAAGGCATGAGCAAAAGGCGCCTGCAGGAGCTGGTGAGTGGTGTGGGGTGGGGGGGCAGGCACTGAACTGTTCCAGTTCCTCCATCTGAAAGACCCTCGGGTGGGCAGGGGAACCCTTTAGGAAGTCTTTCGGGGGTATGGTGTAGCTGGCTGCCAGGTGTCTAACCCTGGGCTGTGGCTATCCGTACATAACCTGCTCTGTGATAGTGAGCAGGATCCCAGCCCCCAATAATAGTTCTGGTTAGCCAGCCCCAACCAGAATGATCATTTAATCTGCTACTTGTGGTCCAAGGTCAGGAGTCCAAGATCAGGGTGCATGGGCACTCCCCCAGGATGGGAGGTGTACAGTCGGGCTACACTGGGGGGGCCAGGATTGGGACTTCTCACTGCTGCTTAAAGCACTGCTCCCACCACCACTGTCTGGGCTCTTTGTTGAGCACGCCCGTCCTTGTGTGATGGAGCCTACATTTCTGTTTTCCTGATAGTAATTTACTTATGATGTTTCCTTAAAATAAGACATCCTGGCATTGATGTCTCTGTAGAGGATATTTTTGGTGATACAGGTAGTGGGTCTTGAGAGCCACTTGACCTTGCCATAGTGATCTAGAGAGACTTTCTGAAGTGAAGGGCCAGTGCATCTTCTTTATAAAAAATTTGTCAAGAGCAGGTTTGTAATGTATAAAATGTCATAAAGGAATTTGCCTTAGTTCTTTTTATGAAATTATTTTATTACTCTGTCAAATTGCTATGTGGGTGTACATGCTAAGTCGCTTCAGTCATGTTTGACTCTTTGTGACCCCATGGACTGTAGCCCGCCAGGCTCCTCTGCCCATGGGATTCCCCAGGCAAGAATACTGGAGGGGGTTGCCATGCCCTCCTCCAGGGGATCTTTGTGACCCAGGGATCAAACCCGTGTCTCCTGCATTGGCAGGCAGATTCTTTACCACTAGCGCCACTTGGTAAGTCAAATTAGAAGCTATAAAAGCTTCTAAATGCTTACTTTCAATTTTTGTTTGTATCTTTGTGGACTGATAACAGTTCATGGACTGCGTAACTTTTAAGTAGCACTGCTCTAGAACAGGGTTATTCCTCCTGTTCTGCTAAGAACAGGATACTGGTATGTCATAACATTGATTCCCCCCGCTCTTCAGGGATCCTGGAGTTGTGGAATCCTTACACTGATTGCCTTTGACCGCAGCCCTGTGTGTTTACCCCATTTTACCATACAGATGTTATCATCTTCTATGTGTATCATAACATCAGAAAGGTTGGAAAGCAGTTGCTATTCATCACAATTTTTTTTATTTAAAAAAATATTTATTTGGCTGCACTGGGTCTTGTTGTGGCATGTGGGATCTAGTTTTTTCTCTGATCAGGGATTGAACCCAGGCCCTCTGCATTGGGAGCGTGGAGTTTTAGCCACTGGACCTCCAGAGAAGTCCATCATGATTTTGTCTTGTTTTGTTTTATTATTAGCAACTTCTGCTTAATTTATATATTAACTTTTATCATAGGCATCATATACAGGAAAAAACTTAGTATATATAGGGTTTGGTGCCATTCATGGTTTCAGGCAACCACTGATGGTCTTAGCATGTATCCCCTGTGTCTTTTTTTTAATATGGAACGCTTCACAAATTTGCATGTCATCCTTGCACAGGGGCCACGCTAATCTTCTCTGTATCATTCCAATTTTAGTATATGTGCTGCCGAAGCGAGCACCCATCATGATTTTAGATACATGGTTCTAGTTTGTATCCTAAATGAGCATGAGGGAATAGTATTGGGGAAGTTAGAATAAGGCAGGAAAATCAGAATTTCATGTCATGTATCCGAACATAAACTTTTCTTTCTTTCCAGGCTGAACTGGAAGCCAAGAAAGCAAAAATGAAGGGAACCTTGATTGACAACCAGTTCAAGTGATCGGGTCCTTTCTGTGGACCCAGGCTGGAGGCAAGCATTTAAGATGAGGATGAAAAAGAGTGTTTTCTTGACTACATGGACTTATTCTACCTTTATGCTCCAGCAGAAAGCTTTACGTGGCTTCCCAGTGATTATCCTACTTTGAGTCCATCTGACCTGATTTCTAGAGACAGATTTTTCTCAGTCTTCCTGTATTTATGTCTTCTGTACTATTTTTTGTTCATTTGATGTAAACTTCTTCATCTGTGTAGAAGCAGGTCTATGAATAGATCAATGCTTGTGTGTCTCTAGTTTATGAAGGAACTGTTCTTATTCTTTCTTCAAAGTTAATGAAATGTTTAAAGATTTTTGAAAAAAAAATATTGTGATGTGTCATAGAAAAAAGCTGCATGAGTTATATTTAAAGTTACAGCAGGCCAGATCCTTTTACATGGCTCTGTCTCTGTTCTTAGACTGGCAGGTATTGGCTAGGGTTTGAATCTCTCCACTGTCTGAGAAAATCCGTAACGAGCCAGAATCTGCATAAAGTTCCCTTTACCTGTTACCTTAAAACTGCAGGCAAACCAACCCTCATCATACATTGTACTAACAGAGGGAAAAGTCAGATTCCAGTAAGGGGGCAAGATAGCTCAGATCTGAATGAAAATGGGATCTGGGTATGCAACCCAAGGGAGCTACCATCCTGTCAAGTAGCTGAGAATGTTGCTCCCTTGTGTGGGCATGTGGGAGGGAGATGTGATAGAGTAAGAAATGATAACTGATAATAAAAGTTATCTGTTGACTCTTTCATTTCACATTTGCTGTGTTTGAAGGAGTGTTGTAGACATAAATATTTAATGTCACGCTGCTTCAGTAACACCATTATGTAGTGTTTGCATCATGTTTTTATCTGTTCGTCTGTATTGCAAAGTGTTGGGGCAAGAAGAGTACTTTAAACTCCTTATATTACTTACATGGCTTGTACTTAGCATAAGGCATGTAGTGAGAGGCCGATAGGAAATAGTAGGGCATTTTTCTTTGCTATTTCCTTCCTGATTTCTGAATTTGGAAGGAAAAGTAGGAGTGAGGGTAGATGTGAGCTAGCAAGAACTGGGAGAAAAGAAGGGTGGGAGTCCTGGGAAAGTCCGGTATGGGGCTGTGTGACCAGGATCTCAAACTGCATTTAGCTTTCATGTCTCTTCAGTCTCCTCTGATCTATGACAGTTTTTCAGTGGTATCTCCTACTTTTAATTTGCATTTCTCTAATGACAGATGATGTTGAACATATTTTTCTTTTTTTTATTGTGGTAAAAAACATGTAACATAAAATTTACTGTCTTAACCATTTTGAAATGCACAGTGTTGTGCAACAGATCTCTGGAGCTTTTTCATCTTATAAATCTGCAAGTGTATACCTGTTAAACAATAACTCTCCCTTTCCCCTCTCCCTAGTTCCTTGGACCTCCATTCTACTTTCTGTCTCTATGGATTTTACTACTTTAGAAACCTATATGAGTGGAATCATCCCAGTAGTTGTCTTTTTGTGACTGGCTTATATTTTGCATTGAATAATGTCCTCAAGTTTCATCCATGTTGTACCATATGATAGAATTATGCATAGACCACATTTTGTTTACACATTCATTCATGAATGGACATTCATGTTGCTTCCTCCTCTTGGCTGTTGTGAATAGTGCTGCTGTAAAAACACTGGGTACAAATATCTCTTCAAGACCCTGCTTTCAATTCGTTTGATTATATATCCAGAAGTGGGATTGCTGGAACATGTGGTTGTTGCTGTTCAGTTGCTCAGTCATGTCCGACTCTTTGTGACCCCGTGGACTGCAGCACGCCAGGCTTCCCTGTCCTTCACCATCTCCCGGAGCTTGCTCAAACTCATGTCCATTGAGTTGATGATGCCATCCAACCATCTCGTCCTCTGTTGTCCCTTTCTCATCCTGCCTTCAGTCTTTCCCAGTATCAGGGTCTTTCCGAATGAGTCGGCTCTTCACATCAGGTGGCCAAAGTATTGGAGCTTCAGCTTCAGCATCAGTCCTTGCAGTGAATATTCAGGGTTGATTTCCTTTAGGATGGATTGGTTTGATCTCCTTGCAGTCCAAGGGACTTTCAAGAGTCTTCTCTAATACTGCAGTTTGAAAGCATAAGTGTTTTGGCGCTCGGCCTTCTTTATGGTCCAACTCTCACATCTGTACATGGCTATTGGAAAAACCATAGCTTTGACTGTACAGACCTTTGTCAGCAAAATAATGTCTCTGCTTTTTAATATACTATCTATGTTGGTCATAGCTTTTCTTCCAAGGAATTAGAGTCTTTTAATTTCATGACTGTAGTCACAATTGAAACAGTGACAGACTTTATTTTCTTGGGCTCCAAAATCACCGTGGACGGTGACTGTAGCCATGAAATTAAAAGATACTTGCTCCTTGGATCATATGGTAATCCTGTTAAATTTTTTGGGAACCTCCATACTGTTTTCCACAGTGACTGTACCGTTTTTACTCCCATCAGTAATGTACAGGGCTCCAATTTCTCCACGTCCTCACCAACACTTATTTTCTGTTTTTTTTTAAAATTATTTATTTTTTTCTGTTTCTCCCAGCTTGTAGGATCTTAGTTCCTTGGCCAGAGATTGAACCTGGGCCCTTGGCAGTGAAAGCATGGAGTTTTAACCTCTGGACAGTCAGGAAATTCCCTTTTTTTTTTTTTTTTGATAGTAGCCATCCTAACAGCAATGATATACAATGGTTTTGATTTGCATTTCTTCAGTGATTAATGATGTTGAGCAATTTTTCATGTGCTTTTTGGCCATTTGTATATTATATTTGGAGAAATGTCTATTTGAGTCCTTTGCCCATTTTTTAAATTGGATTATTTTATTTTTTTCATTGTGAGCATAGTTTTACTTGCTAATTTTCCATCTATGTATCTTCCTTGGTGAAGCATATGCTCAGATCTTTTACTTATTCTTAAGTGGGTTTGTTTTTGTATTGTTGAGTTTTAAGAGCTCTTTATATAGTCCGGATAGCAGTCTTTGATCAGGTATGTGATTTGCAATATCTCCCAGTCCATGGTTTGTCTTTTCATTCTCTTAATAGTGTAGTGCCTTTCTGTGTGACCCAGGATCATGCAGATTTTTTTCTATATTCTAAAAGGTTTATATTTACATTTAGATCTATGATCCATTTTGAATTAATTGTTGTATAATGTGTGAGGCATGTGTACAGGTTTTTTTCTTTTTTTTTAAGTTTTTTTTCTTTCATAAACATGTCCAGTTATTCCAGCACCATTTGTTGAAAAGACGTTCCTTTCACCTTTCAGTTCCCTTTGTGCCTTTGTCAAAAATCTGGGAATTCCCTAGTGGTTCAGTGGTTAGAACTCAGTGCTTTCACTGCCACGGGGCCTGGGTTTGATTCCTGGTTGGGGATCTAAGATCATGCAAGCTGCATGGCACGGCACGGCAAGAAAAAAAAAATCAGTTGACTATATTTTTGGACTTTGTATTCTGTCTATTGTCTGTCTGTTCTTGCATCAGTACCACACTACTTTGATTTGAATATTACAGCTTTATATATATCTTGCAACTGGGTAGTATGACGCTTCTTTGTTCTTTTTTAGAATTGTTTTACTTACTCTAGTTCTTCCGCCTTTCCATATAAATTTAGTGGAATGGTATGGTATGTCCAGAATTCTTGCTGGGGTTTTGATTGGAACTGTGTAAAATCTAAAGATCAGGGTGGAGGACTTCCCTGGTGGTCCAGTGGTTAAGAATCTGTCTTGCAATGCAGGGAATGCAGATTTGGTCCCTGGTTAGGGAACTAAGATACCACATGCTGAGGAGAAAGTAAGCCTGCGAGCTGCAACTACTGAGCCGGTGCTCCACAACTAGAGAGCCTGTGCGCTACAATTGAAAGATTGTGCATGATGCAGTGAAGATCCCACGAGCTACAACTAAGACCTTACACAGCTAAATAATTAAATATGATTAAAAAAAAAAGATCCAACTTGGGGAGAATTGACTTCTTAATAATATTGCATCTTCCAACCCATGAACATGGTCTATCTCTCCATTTATTTAGATCTTTGATTCCTTTTGTCAGTGTTTTATGGTTTTTTGTGTATAGATATTGCCAATATTTGGTTCAAATGTATACCTTCATTTCTTCTGATGCTATTGTAAACCTTGTTGTTGTTGTTGTTGTTCAGTCGCTAAGTCGTGTCTGACTCTTTGACCCCGTGGACTGCAGCACTCCAGGCCTTTCTGTCCTCACTATCTCCCAGAGTTTGCTCAAGTTCATGTCCATTGAGTTGGTGATGCCATCCAACCATCTCATCCTCTGCTGTGCTCTTCTCCTTTTGCGTTCAATTGTAAACCTTACCTCCTTTCAAACAATGGAAATCATCTCAGGATGTATTTCCAAGCTTGCTAGGCTTATTCTTACATAAACTCAGGCCGTAATTTCCATTTATCTCCTGACCCCAGGCCCTGAGTCCTCAGTGTGACTTGTCTTATGGTGGTGTTCTGACTCCCCAGAACCAGTGTCTTGAGTATTGCACATTTCTAGTTGACAGTAACTCTGATCATTGCTTTTGGGGAAGGCCATACAGAAACTATATTACATACTTGTGGCAAGGTCAAGGGGATGCTTCAACTCTTGGTTCAGAGGTCTCTGGGTCAACCAGTCTGGAATGGTAACAGGCCTGGGAAGTGGACAGTAACATTTAATTATAGCAACAATGATTAGAGTTAGGTGTGCACAGGCCAGACTTATAGTTCTTTATTTTTTCAAGAAAAAATTACAAAAATCTGTAGGGTAACAGTCTTCTGCCCAAATATTTTAAGCCACTGCCAATAAGTCCTAATGATCAAATATTTTGGCTAAAGCTTTGAACTTGATTTCTATTATGGCAGCCATGCTTAACTGAAAAAATAAATACATCTTACCTTCTTTGAATATTATAACATCTGCCCTGCAAGCTCTCAATTTAGAGTTAGTCCTACA